AATTAAGGCCATTTTACCGCTCGCCATATTGGTGTCATGAAAAGCGTGTGAAACTGGCCGGGGCTGTCGGAACACTTTCACAGGGAGACTTCAATCAGGGTCGCCGAAACTAAGGCGACAACTGTTATCGGTGCCACATCCATTTATCACTTAAATACATCCAGGGGTGGGGATTCTGCCACTTTTCTGGGCAGCCCATTCCAATATGTGGCTCTTTTTGCAAAGAAATCTTTCTAATATCTAATTAAAATCTTTTTAAGTACAATTTCATTTCTTTGTATCTTATGCCTTATCACCTGAGATAAGAGACCAGCACTCTCCTCACTGCAACCTTCTTTCAGGTGATTGTAGATAATGGTAGAGGTCTCTCCTCAATCCCCTTCTCCAGAGTGAACTTCAGCTACCTCAGCTGGTCCTCACAACTCTTTTCTAGTCCCATCTCCAACTTTGTTGCTCTTTTCTGCATACTGAACCCTAAAAAATGCCACTATGATTAGCTGCAACAGGATTGAAATCCTTTCACTAGGGTTCATCGAGCATGGCCAACCAATCAGATCTTCACCCAGCAAACCTGTTGTAATGCTATCACGTAATAAAAAACATAGCAATGACAGTGGGGTAGAGTCCCAGGCTATAATGAGTAAGCATAAGACCAAGTGCAGCAGCTGTGGATGGAGAAACAAAGGAAAAGGGCTGCTGACCTTCAGAAGGCCTCAGTTAGGCAAGGATCTCCAGAGAGATATCCTTACCCCACTGCCAACCTTTAAGTGAGGTCTTGGAGGGCATGGATCCTGGCTGTACTCCTTCCTGAGTACACTTCCATGCACCTGAGCTCCCCTGGGTTGGCCATGCCTTCCACCAGGTGCTCAATCACTGTTTCATGCTATAACTTATCATTTTCACTACACCTGTCCAAGCCACTAGCAGCCAGTTTCTACAGGAGAATACTGTGGGAAAGTCAAATACGTTACTAAGATCTATGTAAACAACCTTCAAAGCCTAAAGCCTATCTAATAACAGTCATTTTTGTCACAGGAGATCAGGTTAGTCAATCAGGACAAGCCATTTATATATACATGCTGCCAGCATTTGATCACTAGTGTCCTGCATGCACCATTACATGACACTTGTGATGTTCCTTATAATAGTTTCAACAACTAATACTGCCAAGTAACATGAACCTATGGGATTAGGCCTAGGTATAGAGTACACATGGTTAATTCTCCAAGTTTTAAAGTCATATTGATTAAAGCCAAGTTTCAAGTTATTCTATATAATTAGAAATGTTTCATCTATAAAACTACATTGCCTATTATTTTGATAGAAGAGTTTAAGAGATTTTCACTTAAAGTTTCTCCTAGTTAAGGTAGTAACAGCAAAGAAGACCCATAAGCTTTAACTAGACTTTATTGTTAGTAAGGCAGAACCTTAGATGGACCAGTAAAGATGGTGCAATACTAGAGAGGAGAAACTGGGAATTCAGTTGATAATAGATGCATCTGTCTATATGTGATCAGAGACAAAACTGGAGAGTTTATACTGTTGTGAGAATTGCAGCAAGGGTCACAGTATACTAGAAATACATGCAGGTGCAAGTTCATTTATTTGTTGAGCCTGAAAACTGAAAATAGAATTTTTTTGTCAGCTAAACTAAAACCAGATTGAAATCCAGTCCTGTGCAAAGCATTTGACTGTCTTTCATTAGAGCCTTATCCCCAAATTGGAGGGATGTGAATTTGATGGACAGATAAGGAACTGTTTGGATGGTCAAACTCCCAACTCCCATATCTAAGACAGATATTAGTGGCAAGTGTTCTTCAGGGAACTCTATTGAGACCAGTGTTACTCAACACCTTTGTTAGTGACATGGACAGTAGGACTGAATGTATACTCATTTGTGGATTACTCCAGTTTTTGTGGTTTGAAGACATATAATCTGGGGATAACAGATAGAACTACATGACTTCTAAGATCTCTTTCAACACAAATCACACTATGACTCCAAACAAATTATGTAAAAAATAATTCGCATTTGACAATTCAATCTTAACCATTGATTCAGGCTTTTTCTTATTCTAAAATTTTTATCCTGATTTTTATTTTTTAAATGATGCATCTGGGAAGATCTTTCTTTCTCAATATTAGCCTGTTCTTTATATCACTATCAAGGGAACCCATTAAAAAACATTCAGTTTTGGCACACTTGTTGATCTTCCAGTTTTGTCAACAAGTTTTCATAGCAAGGTTAAAAAAAACCAAAAGAGTAGTGCTAGTTAAAATGTTAGATAATTTTTCAAATACTAATTATGGTGTGCTAGTTTTCTTGTTATCACAGATTTGAAACTTGGTACAATTTGTTTTTTAAATTATATGCTTTTCTGTTTATCTTTGACACCAAATGCATTTTTATGGTATTGCACATAAATCTAGTTTTTCAAGAAATCTTATCAGATGGAATTGAAAGTATTTAGAGAAAGTAAGAAAATGAGGATTATCAAAGGCATGTTAACTACTACTAAAGCTATGTTAACTATCCATTCCTTTAAGTCAGAAGAAGCAGCAATATCAATGGTGTGGTTAAGATCAAACAGATCGAGAAAATTCTGAATCTCAATAGCTGAACTTATACCAGAAAAATGAACACTGCCAGAACATGGGCATAAGCACGGTCAAGACACAAGACAACTGCTCTGTTTGTCACTGCATTCCCAAAGCAGTGTTTGGCATGGTTTTGGTTGAGACAGACTAGCACTCATTGAAAGCAATAGCTAGGCACAGCTGAAGAGTTAAAATAAGCCAATGATCTTTTCCATCAGGCGAATAAGAACAGTTATCCTGTTTTTAGAGACTACACTTAATTTTAAAGAATTGGCTGGATGTCACTGAAATGAGAAACTCAGCATACTCTGCACCTGCCCTGCTTACCTACCAGGAAAATGAATATTTTTTATTTTATTTTTTAAGAGGGGTGTTAAAAACAGTAACAGAGAGGGAAAAAAGTCTTTTTTTATACGTTAAGAGTAATAGTGAAAAAAGCAGAATATCTTATTATCTGTGAATGTACATATACTGACTGAAATGAGATTGCATTAGATTATACAACAAAAACATTGGTCTAGTCTCATTTGTTGTGGTTCCTAAGTCTCAGGCTCCCAGTCTCAATTACAGGTATTTTAGAATAAGTTGTTTTTTTCTTTGACTTATCATGAGGTTTATACATAATGAATCAGTGGTATGTCTGATATGCCAAACAGGACAAATAACTGTAAGGAAAAACGTGTAGTGCATACACTAACTGCATTTTCCCATAAACATTTTCTGTAGCAGTTCAGTACGTGATGAATCCAGAAAAAGTACTTTTTGAACTTTTTTTTTTTTCCTTCATTTTACAATAGGGAGTCCTTGCCCTTATGCTGTTGTTCCAGGTATGAATAAAAGCTAAAGAAGCCAAGTTACCTTCTGCAATAACACTTCAAGAAGCTGAAGGAATAGGTAAAATGTAAGGATAGGTAACAGTCACTGCAAAATATTCAAACACCATCCTTGAAGACACTGAAATTACATTAGCTTATATAATCCATCGTAACATGCAAGAATTAAAATTGCCATAATGTAACAGCTAATTAGAGATAAGCTTTTCATTAGAATTCTAAAAACAACTAAAATTTTCACAATAAAAAGGAACTCTATAAAAAAAACTCTATAAAAAAAAACTTCAGCAATTGCTTTTTCATAGCCCAGAAAACTCAAATAAGGGAAGAAAAGTAACTTAAAATATTTTAACGTATTTTCTCAACTATACTAGTCTTCTTTTTTGATTACTGAACTGAAAAACAACATCTACCAAAAGTATACATCTAACAATACATAAAATGCTCTAAACTATACTATGTACATATAAATAAATATATCAATATATAAATTAATGCACAAAGAAAAAAAAACAGTAAATTCTATATGCCTCTTCTAACATTTTTAAGAGGAAAAAAAAAATCAATTTTAAATTCAAGAGATTAGGTAAAAAAAACCTGCAAAATTAGAATTTTTCCTTTCAAGTCACAAGTAAAAATTGCATTTAGCCCAAACTAAATCTTGCTTTTCTCCTTCTGACCCTCATAATCCAAATTACGTAATTACATCAGGGTTGATAATGAAACTATTCAAATAAAAAAGTTATAAGAATAACAGACAAGTTAAAATTGTCCTTGGTGCTAGGGAAATTATTTGCCTGTTTCTAACTGTGGTACATTTTCTTCTTATTTACAGTCTGTATTAACAGGAATAGTATCACTGTGCAACAAACTATACTGTGTATACTTGTTACATTGTTACCTATTAAGAGTTTACATTCAGATAAAAAAAATAATTGTTCTAGTATTGGCATTATAATTTGATGAACTTGGTATAGATAATCTCTGACTATAAATAATGGAAATTGATTCTTCATGGAGTTTTTATCCTCATAAAACACATAATTTAAAATCATAAATGTGTGGATGAAATGAAGGATAGCATTTGTGTTAGAAATAATATGGTTAGTATCAAATCCTCACATTTTCTTTCAATGTGGCTGTAAATTTTAGATAAATTACTTTTTGTATTTTAAGTCACAAGGTGGCAGCAGTGATATAATCTCTTCATCTAAAACTGCAGAAACACATTCAGTCCCACTACTTTAACTCTTAAAACTTCTCCATTGCTTACAGGGCATAAATGACAGAAAGAGATCGTGTATTTTCTTTGACAATGTGCAGTTCCAGATTACTCACTAAGTGTTTTGAATTGATGCTTTGTTTTTTTTTAATTTTCCATCAACAATTCATTATGTTTGCTGACTTCAAATGAATGTGCAGTGAAACAGTGTATCCATGACAGCAGTTGTTTGCTCATCTTTCTGTAATAACACACCATTCACAGAGCTGAGAAATAGAAGAATAACTGGATACATAAGCTTGTCAGTTCTGGAACATAATCATGTAGTGAGAAGGTGCAATGCTTACCGATAGCTGTTGAAAAGATCTGTGCAGGTGCCATTATTTCTACAAGGCTCTGAGTCACATTCATTTGACTCATTTTCACAAAATTTTCCTTCCCATCCAGGCAGACAAACACATTGGTATCTCTGCAATGCATGACAGAACATAAATTATCTGTTACTTTTTAAAATTTTAAAAGAATACATTTACAAGGGGTATTATTATTATAACTGCTATTTCTTGTCTTCAAATGGGTGATTCAACATTTTAAAACTAAAAAGAAAAAAATAATCTATTGCCAGTTTGGCACACTAATGTGATGAAAAGAGGGTAGGGTATGAAGCATGAGACATTACTTACTATCTTTTTGCATCATCAACTTGTATTATAATAATTTACTACCCCTTCCTCCCTTGATCGAGAATGGTAGCAAAAGGTAATACCTCTCCCATAAAACTACCTTGTCTCCTTTGCCTAAAGCACAGGTATTTGCAACCATCTTGAGTTGTATTGTTGAACATGCAGTCCAAACAGAACTCAATATAAAATAATTTATCATGAATGTGTTTAATATTTTTAATTTGAAATTGTGCACAAGTATCTCAATTGTACAATAGTAGACAACTTACAACATGAGAACTATTGTCTCTTTTTAGGTGTATTAGATAGTAAAAAAACAGCATAATTTAAAGTATTCTGCCTCTGCAGTGGCAATTCTTAATAGATTAATGATGAGATATGAATGCAAAATTTGATTGAATTGAGTAAAGTTTTTCAGCAGCACATACATCCACCTTTAAATGGCATATATTATAGAATCTTTTTGATCACATTGCAAAGCTGTATCAAATCGTAATCACACCATACTATTATCTCAAACCTCAAATTTATTATCTTGTAACTTCATGCAAGGGAGCGTTTGACAGTTTCACAGAAGTTAAAAGCATAAAGCATCTTCTCTCTGCCTACGTTCTAAAACAAAAGAGAAAGGTGAACATCTGCTGAATTGAATATTCATTAGAGATGGGCAGCACAGCAAACACTTCCATTCAGCACAAGTTTTAATTGCTTCTTTTGTAACATGCTTACTTCTAACAAGGCTTCTTTCTATCAGGAGTTAAGAAATGCTTTAATGGTAAGCATGACTAATGCATATTATTTCATTACTTGCTAAGCATTGCAATAGGCTTCAGGGTAGATTTTAAAACCTATTAAATTCAATGTAAATTGGAAAACATTAAGAAACAAACAGCAAAAAAGTTTAAGGGTTTTTTAAAGCTAACTGCATAAATAAGCTGCCACAGCATGAAGATCAAATGTATAATGTATCAGTGTTCCGAGTGCAGATTATCTTGTACTGTTTTAACCATCTGTACTTTGGAAATAGACATACACAGTTGTGTTTAAAACAGACCTGGGCTATGAACTTAAATATGGTAAACAGGAATTAATTTCTCAATACAGTTTAAAGATAGTGTCAGAACTTCAGAACAAATGCACGTTTTTGCAATTGTCCTATGCTTTTCTTTAAGTTCCGATAATATTCTTACCTACTCCTGAGAAATAAAAGCTTAGAGTATTTTGCTGGAAGAAAGGCATCAAAATTGAAAAGGCAATTGTTCAAAAACAAGCTTGGCATGGTTACTGTGAAGCATCAGAAGGTGTGAAACAGCTGAACTGTTTCCAACATTCATAATTCAATTACTTACATGTATATGATTCTACAGCTGATCAAATCAGCTCTCATGCAAATGGATCTGTATATAATGCATTTGTGATCTGTATTTTTTCCCAGCTCGATGAATCTTTTTTCTGCTCATAGTGACTAGCAAAGATGTGAACTTGGTTAGGACATATGGATGGATATAGATTTTCCGAATGCAACAAGATGTATTTTAAAAGCTAGAATATGAAAGTGCAGGCCTTTATCCTCAGTTAAAGTAGGGCATTAAGAAAATTAGAACTTGTCTACGACTTCTTAACAAATAAAAATCAGAAAACAGAAATAATTTTGCCAAAGAAAGGAAAAAGGAAAAAATGTTGAGATAGAAGACACAGACGTATGGGCTAGTAATATAATCTATTACATCACAGACACATCCAAATTAACTGTTAACTATTTTAACTGGACAGTTTTTCTGAGATTTCCTCCATTTCCTGCACAAGTATCAGCACATCAAAATAAATAATAGGAACAAATAAGTATGCCACAAACGCAATGCCAAAAGCAGAGGCAACTAAGCCATATTTGCAAGTAACTATTAGACACTTAATAACTGTTCTACTAGCAGGATAGGCTTTCACATATATCAAGAATGTGACAATGATTTTTTTTTCCTCATTATTTCCAAAAACCCTTCCAGAAATTGATTAAAAAGTAGAAGTAAAAGAAGACTGAAAGCCATCCTGTTTAGAAAGCAGTAGTATTTTGTGTCAGGTTCTATAAAAAGCATCTAATGATCAGCTAATGAAATTCTATGCTTTGCAGATTATTTCTCACTTTAGGAGAGCTGTCACATCCAGCACAACACACAACTCACATGCATGTATACTATGCATGGATGCAGTACATATGAATAAGAAAAAGTCATTATTTCATCTTTGTATTCCAGTTTAGGCCAACTGAAAATGCCAGATTACAATAAATTGTAAGTAGAGATAGATAAAATAGATATAAATAAGATAAAGAAAATGCTGCAGAAAAGGACCTGCAAGTTCTTACAGACAGGAAGATGAATGAGGCAGTAGAGTGTCCTGGAAATAAAAGCAGCTAATGATCCCCTGGGCTGCCACAGGGGAAGCGCTGGCAGTGAGTGGAGGGAAGTGACCATTTCCCATACACAGCCTGCAGTGCTGTGTCCAATTCTGGGTCCCCAGCACAACAGACACATGAACAGACTGCAGAGATCAGGAAAGGGCCACCAAGATGCCTGACAAACTTGAGCATTGCTCCGACGAGAAAAGACTGGAAGAAGGAAGACTGTCATGGCACAGCATGCATCAAACAATGCAGAATGACAAAATGCTGTGTTTGGAAAGTTTGAGGTGAATCGTGCAGGAGAGTGGAAGAATGGAATCTGATAGTTATGTATTTCTTCCTTTTTATTTTAACTATGTTCTGCTATCCATATTAGACATGAAAATAAACGGTGCTTCTGAGCTCCTCCAAGTCTTTTGCTTGCTCTCTAAACACTGCAGTAAATGTATTGACACCTGAATAAACATCCAAAATAAAAATGTCATAGTAAAAGAAGGGAGATTTAGACTGGATATAAGGAAAATATTTTTTTATAGTAAGTGTAATGAAGCACAGGAATGAGTTGGCCAGAGACATGGTGAATGCCCCATTCATGGAGATGTTCAAGATCAAGCTGGATGGGGCTGTGAGCAACCTATCTAGCTGTAGTTCATTGCTGAGGAGTCGGACTAGATGACCTTTAAATGTTCCTTCCAACTGAAACAATTCTATGACTATGACAACTAGAAGCATACTAATGAGTCATTATCCAATTAATTGTGTGGATAGTTAAGAAAACAATATTTGAGAATATATTTTTTAACACTGTAATTGAAGAATTAATAATTTTCTTAAGCCTTACTCACTGTTATTTTACTGGAAAATGGTGAATAAATATCTGGCAAATAGAAACTACAGTGAGAAAGTTTCATCATGCACAACCAGGACCTGAATTACAAGCAGGCTTATCTTCAAGCCTGAACTTGCAGGTGTAGGTTGAGAATAATTTTTACCCTACAGAGCTAAATACCAAGGATTCTTTCCATGTGGAGTACAGAATTAAAAAAAGTAATTTCACTTTCAAAGATAATATTGAGTTGGTGCATTTTTAGAAGTTGTAACAGCCTTTTATTTCTTGGCAAACAGAAAGAACAAAAAAAAAAGATGAAAAATTTCTGGAAACAGAAATACTCAAGCAGAAATCTCTACTTCTCTGAACCCAGTGCGCCAGCTTCCTGCAGTGGAACTCTTTCTGTTAAGGATGAGCACACAGTAAGATCACTCATCACTGCTTCATATTGTGAGATGTGTTCCAGTAAGAAAGTCCAAAGTTTGCCGTTGAGGTTTTCATTTTTATTTATTTATTTTTTTGCTCCATAAAATGACTGTATTTTTGCCTCTGCATAATACTTTTCATCACAGAATTCTTCTCTGTGGAAGCCGTCTTCTTCCTACAGAAAATCTCCATGCAACTTTGTCACAACTAATAGCAGTCGTTTAATCTTGTGAAATAAATGTGAATACAGAAATGTAAGCATCTGTGAAATCATATTTGTTATTGTTCTTAACAATTGAACTCAACATTATTAAAAAGCATTTTTTGTTGATTTTAGGGTCTTTTCTGAATTGCCACTTTAATACTTCACTTTTAATTTTTTATCAATTTACATAAAAATTCAGATCTAAGCCATATCTGAAGGCTGGCTTTAAGAAAGAAGGGGAGAGACTCTTTAGCAGAATCTGCTGTGATAGGACAAGGGGAGATAGTTTCAAGCTTAAAGAGGGTACATTTAGGTTACATATAAAGAAAAAGTCTTTTACAGTGAGGATGCTGAGGCACTGGGACAGGGTGCCAAGAGATGTAGCAGATTACTCCTTGGAGACTTCCAAGGCAAGACTGGATCAGGCCCTGGGCAACCTGACCTAGCTATGCACGTCCCTTTTTGTTGCAGAGGAGCTCAACTAAATAACTGTTACAGGTTCCTTCCAGCTCTAAGGATTCTATGATATTCACTAACATTTTTCTCATTTTTCAATATGACATCGCCTTCATTACGCAAGTCTTTGCATTTTTGTTCTTTATACATATATACACACATACATAATAGCCTCATTTATATATAAATGAGACTATTTAATTCAAAAACAAAGGAAACAAAAATTCCTACCTTTTCATCTTAGTTGATTTAAACATAACTTTAATCTTCACTAAAGAAAACCACTTAAAATATCCACGCAGAGTGAAATCCTAACAATTACGTTACTTTTCTTTTTTACAATAATGAATTTAGCTGTACCTAAAAGCATATAGGAACAGCAAATTTATCAATGGTGTCAATTTTCTTTTGCTATTGAAGTGACTTCTGAGTACGTACAATAAGCCTGCTCCTTCCTTGTGTTGAAG